CGCAGCGCGGCGCGGAAGGGCGGAGGAGGCACCGCCGCGGCCACAGTGAGCCGTTGACCGCACGGTGGAGGGAGTGTGCGAGTTTGCGCTCAACACGAAGTGGAGCCACGTCTTGGGGTTTCCTGCGGCTGAAGGGAGGGAGGGAAGTGGCGGTGCGGACGGCGGTGGAACGGGGCCACACACCCCAACGTAGTCGGGGGCGTGCACGGTGCAGGGGACAACTCCTCCACTGCAGGACAGCGTTGCGCAGCTTCGTGCGCCGCGTCCCAGCCTGACGGGACTCGCCTCCGCGGAGGGCTGGCCGTGCCCGCTGAGGGAGGGAGGGAAAATTGCCGGCTGCTGCGTTCACCCTGCGGTGGGGCGGGTGTGACGGATTGTCAAAGGCGGTTGGGGAGGGCCGCATCGCACCAAAGGACCAGAATTGTTTGAAGTGAGGCGGCGTGTCTTGATTGGGGCGCCCGGGATGGCGATCTCGGTGGTGGACGAGTGCCGGCCCCTACCCCCTCCACCGGCCGCTGCACCGCGATGAGTGCCCGCTCCACTTTGCTCTCTGCTGCCTCGGAGGCGAGTTGGCGGACGTATTCGACACGGCCACGCAAACGGTGACAGGGCACGAGGGCGAGCTCGAGGTCCGAGGGCGCGTGAGCGATTTGTCGTGGTGGGCAAGAGGGTGTGTATTGTCTACGATGCGCCAGAGGAGGGAGCACCGCTGCCGTGGGTAAACTTACGGCCTTGTGGATGGGTCATGGTTGCGTGTTGGCGTCCGCAAAGGGAAATAACTCGAGAGCACTGGCGATGCGACTGCATCTCTGCCTCGCCCCACCATGCGCTGCCGCGACGAGAAGGAGGCGAAGGCGACGTGTGCCTGGCGGACGCGCGCCATCATCCCGCGCAGGAGCAAAAGAAGTAGTGGGAGGCGGTCGCGGGTCGCATGCAGCTTGTCGGACCGCTGCCGCGTGGCACCTTCAGTGCGGCTGCGTTCGATGGGCGCACTGCGGCGGGTGACGGCGCCCTGCAGGCGACTGACGCCCCGGTTGCCGAGGACGACTGTGCTCGGGAAGGCGAGAAACTGTGGGGTGCGGGGAATCCGTTTCGGAGGACTGAGAAGATTGAGCGGGAGTGTGGCGCACACGGTGTGGAGGCCGTGCGCTACAC